AACTTCACCAAGGCTCTACCTCCTGCCATCTTCTCTAACCTCCTCTCCAAGTTTGGTGTGCATAATCTCTGTCCACCAGCGTGCGGCGGTGTATCAGAGAAAAATTCAAAATTATCTTCCGCGACTCCAACGACTACCAAGGCAATCACCTGTTGCGACGTCGTCTTAGGTAAATCGAAGACTGATATAGCTGGAACGGTGTTGTCCCGAGAAGAGTGTCCGAAAATGATCAAGATGTCGTCGTAGCAGGCAGTGAGACTAAAGATGGTTGAAACGTCGCCGTTGTGCCCTGAAGCCACAACGTCTCTTTCACTTGTCCAGTTTATGTTCCCTCTTTTCTATGTTTATGTCCTTATCCTCTGTCAATTTACAACTAGAGTTGCTTGTCCTGTAATGCACGAACCATGTATATAAGCTCAATGTGAATCAATGAGAAATCAAGTTAGGGTTTCCAAAGCATACCTGCTGTTAGTTTGCATTACACGATGATCGAAGAAGATCTGACAAGTTGTGACATTGCCTTAGCATGTCAATCTCGAACATACCTATGGAGAGGTCAATGTTATGACCGATCACTTAGCCTCGTATGTCATTCTTTGTCTTTGGAAAGGCACACTTTTCACTCACTTTTTAGCTACACTGAGTATTGGTTTTACTTTGATCGCATCAAAATTAAAACTCCTAAGCTAGCTAATGCATAGAAGTTATAAGGTTATTTTAGGCTATGTGTTTCATAAAAAAATAACATACAAAAAGAATAAATGTCAATTTGCTATATAAGGCAGACTTTTCCGGAGGTTTTTGTTTCAAACCATATAATTTGTTAACGAAATGTACAACACCACCATACTACATTTTGAAATTACGATAAAAGATAGTCTCAAAAGAGTCATGCAAAGTGATTCCATGTTGAAAACCAGAATATGAAGGTAGGATGAGTTTTTCTCGACTTGATGTGTCATTTAGGATGCAACTACAAAGTTAGTATGAAGTATTTATACGTACAATATCCATCTTCCATACCAATTTAAGACCAAGCAATATCCTCATCAACTCGGTGTTAGTGATAGTAACCCCTCAAGAACTAATATCGAACACCTTAATGAATTGGTCATCATCTCTCAAATCTCACAATGGCTCATACTTTTGTAACTGGGATACCCAGGAAATTTCGAAGGAGAGGCCACCCATATTTTTACTACCGCTGCTTGATGCGGATTGTAACCACGTTGAAGCTTAAGCAATAAAAGTATCCCAGATTCCTATATAAAAAAAAATTCAAAGAGTCATTTCTCTTAGAGAGGTGGATTAGTATGGAGTGAATATCACTAAAAATGGGGGATTACGAAAGTTCTTTTACGGACGTGCTAAAATCCAGTCGAACATTTTATCGAAATATTTACACTTTCATGTTGCGTTACACGATGATCACAGTAGATATGACAGGTTATGGCATTACCTTAGCATGTCAATCTTGAATATGCCTATGGCAAGGTCAATGTTATGACTGACCACTTAGCCTCGCAGATCATTCTTTTGTCTTTGGAAAGACAAACTTTTCACTCACTTTTTAGCTGCATTGAGTATTGGTTTTACTTTGATGGTATCGAAATTAAAAGTCCAAAGTTAGTTCATGCGTGAAAGTTATAAGGTTATTTTAAGCTATGTGTTTCATAGAAAAATAACATACAAAAAGAACAAAATGTTGATTTGCTAGATAAAACAGACTTTTCAGGAGGTGTTTGTTGCAAACCATATAATTTGTTAAGGAAATGTACAACACCACCATACTACATTTTAAAATACGACAAAGGGATGGTGTCAAAAGGGTCATGCAACACGATTCCATGTTGAAAACCATAACGTGAAGGTAGGATGTGTGTCTATCGACTTGATGTGTCATTTAGGATGCAACTACAAAGTTATTATGAATTATTTTCACCTACGATATCCATCTTCCATACCAATTTAAGACCACGTAATATCCTCATCAACTTGGTGTCAGTGATGGTAACACCTCAAGAACTAATATTGAACACCTTAATAAATTGGTCATCATCTCTCAAATCTCATATCGTCAATTTTGTAGAGATGTAAATAGAGCATTAGTGTTAACAATGATCAAAGTCAAGTTCTATGCAATGTGATAGCATTTGACTACTTGGTTACTATGGCAAGTGTAATGATTGAGGTAGTAGTACAATTTCAATAAATATTGTAATTCCACAAGAACGAAAAGTATTAGGGCAAATTTTTGAATCTCTATCTTGTCAGTGCAATCAGAGTTCAATTTCTATCTAAGCTAAACTAATCCATAATAAAAACTAAACGATAAAACATTTGGGGAGACTTGTTGCATAGAGTGAAATCTTCACAATAAATGAACTAACATCCAATTGATGCAACAATACATTTGGCATCATATCCTTTAGATTGTGGGGATTCCTATAACTAGTATTAACTCGCTATTCATGCAATCAATATATTTTCGTCGAGACAAAGTATGGAGTCGTCTTTCCACCTAAACTTCCTAACCAAAACCTTAAGTGAGTCATAAATCCCGCTATTAGGTTTCATCATTAGCAAATGAGAGTTTGTGATTCGTTCTGGTACAACCAAACCAACCACTCTCCCAAGTCCCAACCATGAGAGCTTTATCAAACCAAGGATAATTTCTCCCTCTGAAAATAAAATTTTGTATAAGACATCAATAATCACGGATAGTTCAAAAGGATAAGTCATCACAACCACATTTTTGCATTAAATTAAAATACTAACTCAGACAACTAGGGTTCAACTAACAAAAGCAACTAGGGAAATATTACACAAAATAGATGAGGACTACATTTTCAAGGTTGAGACATCCTCCTCTTCTTGATTTGCCTACTCAACGTTGCTATTGGACGAACCCAAAATCTTGTTTTTGGAAATTCCTCCCAAGAAAAGTAGAAAACTCTTCAAAATCCCACCCTCTCACTATGGTGTATGGTATGCTCAAACTCTATTAATCTTACTATACGATACCTCCTCGTCAAAATTAGCATATCTTCTTTTTAACTGTAAAAGAAAAAGAAAAAAACAACTCAAAGTCTTGAAATTAGAGGCATGTTTCCTCTTCTTTACTGAATCGCTATTTGCCGCCCATAGTTTTATTATTTGCCGCCCGTAATTAGGAAAAATATGACGATATTGCCCCGCCTCATTTTAAAACCCTAAACCTATTCCAACCTAACCCTTCACCTGCTGCTGCCAAGACAAGGCCGCCGGCCAGCCACCTCCGCCGCCATCGAGAAGCCCGCCGCCGCCGCCGAGAAGCCTCTGGCCATCCACCTCCCGCAGCTGCCGAGCAGAAGCCGCCGCCGCCGAGCTCATTCTTCTTCTTAATCCTTTCTTCCCCTGTATGGAAAAGTGCGAAAGGGAGTGGGAGAGCAGAGAGGAGACAAGAAGGTGAATATAGAAGCGAACTTTAATGGTGCAGAACCAAGGATTAAGAAGAAGAATGAGGAGGTTGATGTGAAAGTTGTGAAAGTAAAGAAGAATGGACAGATACAGTTAGAATGGTTCGGCTCAAGGTGTAAAGGTTTGGAATTGGACGAGCCCATCAGCTTGCAATTTCTCGCCGCCGTCCGACACGCCGGAGCGGACCCCGTCCGCCCGGTCCGGTCGGACCGATCTGATTGAGTTTCTGGTTCGATTTAAATTAATATTTATTACATTTATTTTAAATACAATTGTTAGTATCTTAATTAGTTTAGTATTGATAGTTGAATAATTAGTATATAATTGGTATATAATTTGTTTTAAAAAATCATTTTAGAGAATAGAATATAAAAAAAATTTGGAGGGCAAAATTATCTTTTTAGTGTTTTTTACGGGCGGCAAATAGTAATTACCAGGGCGGCAAATAGTAACCCTCTTTCTTTATTATTGTCGGTCTTTTCTCGAACCAACAAGCAAAATAAACAACCATTTTTTTCTGAATACACGAGCATATTTTTTAACGATCCGATCATATTTATTTCGTTTTAGACAATAAATTCTACCCATAATTGTTATCGAAGTTCCATCCAGCTTCCCAATGCTTTTAATCAAACCTTTCGATCCACAATACAACTAGACCTTGAAATATAATCAACCAACATTACCAGACACAAAATACGAGAAAACTTGAATTCTTATCACAAAAATGTCAAACAAACACCTAACTTTGGAAAGATCTAAACATGTAAACCATCAATGACATTGCATTATGTTTCCATTTCGTCCATATCACAACTATCTAGTTAGTTCATATATTGTATAATCACTTTGCTGTAACCTTCCAGTCCATACAAAATTGTTGTTCAACAAAAGCCAAAAACTGTCCAATTTCTACAAAACAAATAGGAAAGAATGCAAATGCAAGCACAGCCGCAAGAGTGACAGAGATAAAAAAAAAAAAAAAAGCTCACCAGCTGGTCCCTTTGTTTCTTTCCACTGGAAGTTGAAATGAAACACATCAGATCACAATCTCTCTGTTTCTTTCTTCTCCCTTTCCTTTTCGATTTCCCCACTTCCTTCTCATTTCCAATTCCAAGCCCCAGCCCAGAAGCTCATTGTAGCAAATCAACGAGGTTGTCAATCCGGTTTAGTCCGTTGATCTGATCGAGTATTATCCAATCTCTTTAAATTGATTTAGCAAGAATATATGAAAAAGTCATTATATTGTTCATACATTTATAAATTATATCAAATCTCATCTATATAGAATATAATAACATATAATACTACACCAAAAAAATAATTCGTACTTAAATCCAACATATAATGAAAATTCAAACATACTAATATATAACATTAATATTCAAATGTTCAACTTAGAATTAAAAAAAAAAAGCATAAGTGGAAGAGGAAAACCATAAAAGAATGACAATTCGCATATCAAAGAGAGAATGCCGCCATATAACCTCCAACTCGACAACCTTGCTAGTTGCTGCGAATCGACTCGATGAGTGTGTGGCTCCTTATTTCTTTACCGGATCTGGGTCAATCCAGGTCAACCAAGAGTTCGATGCTGCGGATTGACAACCTTGAAATCAAAGAACAAAGAAATCAAATTACCAGTGCAATCACCCATCTCTTCCTCACTTACCATTCACCCCAACTATTTTACTTTCTAACCCCCACACCCATTTCCCAACTTTCCAGTTTCCATCTCATCTTTTCCCCATGAAAAATCAAACTCTCCTCCCCTAATTCCTCCGTGACCCTCAACGCCCCTTTTCCATTCCCCTTCCCCCATATCTTTCCCGCTTCCCCTTCTCAAATGGCTCCCCAGCCTCTCTTCTCCTCCTCCTCCTCCTCCGCCGCCGCCGCCGCCGACCACTGATCCCCCCCGGCCGTCACACATCATGTTCTCACCGCAGCCGCTGCGCAACGGCGAGACGCCGTCGCCACACCCCCGGATCTCCGCCCCTCACTTCCACTCCACTCTGTCCGCGCAGAAGCTCCGCCGATTCAACTCGCTCATCCTCCTCCTCCGCCTCCTCGCCTTCTGCTTCTCCCTCTCTTCCTCCATCTTCACCCTCACCAACTCCGGCGGCCCCGGCTCCCCCTCCTGGCGCGACTTCGACGCCTTTAGGTCAGTTCCAATTTCTTGTTTGGCTGCCGGGAAAAAAAACAACATTTCGATTTCAATTTCAATTTCAAATTTGTTTCGCCTGATTCCCGCTCCTTCCTCGAGCCACAACCAAACAAAAACAATAAATTAAAAACTTATCTCCCTTTCCGCAGATACGTTTTCGCGGCGAATGCGATCGTGGCGGTGTACTCGCTCCTGGAAGTGGCGGCGTCGGCGTGGGAAGTTCTCAAGAGCGCGACGATTTTTCCAGAGGTGCTGCAAGTGTGGTTCGATTTCGGGCACGACCAGATTTTCGCTTACCTGCTGCTGTCGGCGGGCTCGGCGGCGACGGCGCTCGCCCAGACGCTCAGGGAGGGAGGAGGAGACACCTGTGAATCTTACGGCGCTTTCTGCCTCCAGTCGGACATCGCCATTGCCCTGGGCTTCCTCGGGTTCCTGTTCCTAGGGTTCACCAGCTTGCTCTCGGGCTATCGGGTCGTCTGTTTTGTAATCAACGGCTCTCGTTTCCATCTCTGAGAATTTCATAATTATAAAAAGGTTCTCGAGTTAAATAGGATTTTGATTTTGATTTTGTGTGTTATGATGGCATTCCTCACTTGGTAGGGTTAAAGACACATTTGGTCACTGAGATTACAAAATCGGGACATGTTTAGTCACTAGAAAAAGTTAATATCAAATTTGGTCACTACAATTACTAAAACTGGACGCATTTAGTCACTCGCCGTTAGTCTCCGTCCAACTCCGTTAATGAAGTCCGTTAAGTGCTGAGGTGGCAAACAGAATTGCCTAATCAACCGGATATAACCCAACAAAAATAAAATCCGACCCACCACGTCATTATAACCCGCCACGTCATTAAAACCAACCCAACCTAACCCAACCCATGAACCAACCCCACCCAACCCTTCTTCCTCCTTCCTCCCACTTCACACAGATCCATCCATTTCTCAAACAATCTCCATTGATGCCTCGCCCACCTCCTCCATTCCCCTTCCTCTTTCTCATTCTATCTACCGCCGCCGCAGAAATATTCATCCAGATATGGAATCCGCGACGGAAGGCATTTCCAAGCTCGGCATCAATGGCGATTTCGCGTCCTCCGTCCCTAATCTGCACAAGAACCTCTCGCTTCTGTCACCTGACCAGGTGAGAATCTTCGGCAGACTCTGTTTCTTTACTGCGTTGGCTGGTTCTTGCTCTCATTTCTATCGATCGAAAATGCGATTTGATTTTCTCTTCCACCAATTCACCACGATATTTGTGGTTTAATGCTGTGGAAATAGTGGTTGCCGGATCCTAGATTGAGTTGGCGAAAATGCTTGTGGAGATTGGGTGGGAGGGGAGAGGAGGAGGAGGATGGAGTGAGGGGAAGCGCATTTGAGAGTGAAGGCGGGGTGGCCGCAGCCAGGGGAGGAGGAGAATGGGTAGGGCGGCGGCGACGGGAATGGCGGGCAGGGAGTGGAATGTTGGGAGTTGCAGGAGTGAGATGCTGCTGCCGCGGCGGCGGTAGATAGAATGAGAAAGAGGAAGGGGAATGGAGGAGGTGGGCGAGGCATCAATGGAGATTGTTTGAGAAATGGATGGATCTGTGTGAAGTGGGAGGAAGGAGGAAGAAGGGTTGGGTGGGGTTGGGTCATGGGTTGGGTTGGGTTGGGTTGGTTTTAATGACGTGGCGGGTTATAATGACGTGGCGGGTCGGGTTTTATTTTTGTTGGGTTATATCCGGCTGATTAGGCAATTCTGTTTGCCACATCAGCACTTAACGGACTTCATTAACGGAGTTGGACGGAGACTAACGGCAAGTGACTAAATGTGTCCAGTTTTAGTAATTGTAGTGACCAAATTTGATATTAACTTTTTCTAGTGACTAAACATGTCCCGATTTTGTAATCTCAGTGACCAAATGTGTCTTTAACCCTCAGTTGGTACAATATGATTCAAGAGATAACGATTGTTTTGCTATTATTGATTGAGAGGAGATCGTGGTAGTTCGTTTGATATATGATTTTAGCAATGAAATTGAGTTTGATAAAAATTTTAAAGCAATCCAATCAATATGTACAATTTTCAACCTTAATTCTCTCATCAAAATTTAAGAGGTCGTTTGGCCTCGATGATGGAATATGGACCAAATGTCTCAAAATGGAAAAAATTATATCAAATTGTCTCATTAGGAAAAACAGAACGAGAATGCAACAATTGACTACAGACAATATGAGTTACTCCGTTTTACATCGGCTTGAATTAACAGAGGGAGGGACAAGTATTTTGAAATGATGCATAAATTGTACGATGAGCTAATTTCAAAACGATTGAGTCAAACTGTCTCATTTCTAAAACTCATCATCCAAAACACCACACATCATATTCTTTCAAAATCAAAGAAAAAAACTGGTCCTATATGTTCCATCCATTTAAATTTGAGTCATTTTTTTACGACGATTTTTTTCCAGACATTGACTTTCCAATTTTTATTTCAACATGTTGCTTCATTCAAAGAAGAACCAACCCTTTTAAGTGTTAATAAGTAGCGTAATCAAAATCACGTTTTAAAACTTAAGAACTTATGCATCCACGTTTTTAGGTCATCAAAACGTTTTTACATAGAATTACACTTTTCCCTTCCTAATGACTAATGTAATCAAAATCGCACTTTAAAACTTTACGCTTTTATATCACACCAAAACGCTTCTATGTAGACTCATGTCAGCATAAGAAAGGGGTAGCAATCGAATTTTCTAATCTGAATTGTGCTGTTTGACTTGTCATCAATCATAACGACACAATCTGTAATCAATCCATCAAACTAGGGTTAAAGGGAGACTGGCCAGGTCGCCACTTGATAAGAAAGAATTATGAGAAGATCACTTTCTAACTCTTCCCCAAGGGCAAGACTTTTCCAAGACAGTAACAGACCTGCAGTGACCATGGCCAACCTGGAAAGACTTCTAAACCAAAGTTTCGAAGACTGCAACAGACCATGTCACTTAACATCACAGAGAATGTATGCACGTACAGAAACAAAGACATTGTTCTAAAACGATATCTCCTGCCCAAAAAGTAGTAGTGCATGGTGAAAGTGTGATATCTTCAAAAAGAATTCACATGATGCAATGGAAAGTTTTGAAACTATTGGTGTTCCTGCATTAATTGGGATAATGGTGATCGAGTGATACAGGACAGTTCACAAGTTCAGATGTATTCTAGGTAGCAAAGAACAAGTTTTGGAAACTGCTGTATAGTGTTCTCTAATAAAGCTTCTTATCTAAACAGGATACAAGTAAAACCAGACCACTCCATTCTCAGTTGTTGCCTTCGTATTTCGGGTCGGCAACGACGTAGTGATAGGCAATCACCAGGAGGAAGATGAAGATGCCGAGGAAATTGGCGAAAAATCCGAGGTCTTGGTCGTCAAACATCTGCAGAATCCAACAATGAAACATGGCATTTATCAGAACTATATACATCATAGTAGTTTAATCATCCATCAAACAACAAAATCTGCAACGTAACACTGCAGTTTCCCCCCATTAAGAAGAGTGGCAGACTAGCGTGGAAAAGAATGTAGCTCCAGTTCAGCCACCATTTGTTAGACATAGATCTAGGTTAAATGTGCCACCTTGTTATCGACTGTCAAGGTTCGACAGAATTAAGAGCTTGATTTGCATATTGCAACCCATGAAATCATACTAGTTCATCTCCCAAGAAACAAACTGTGGTTGCCAAAAACAGGGCAATTGTCTTCATACCCCAAAAGCTATAAGATTGCAAACACTCTACGGAAGAACGACTTCGCTTTCAACCTGCATGCTACACTTAGCTTGTAGGCAGTCTGACAAAGGAACTAGCAAAGCAGACCAAGCAATTAACCTAAATTATTATACTTCCCAAGAAGGCTAAGGGCGGGCAAGAATGAGAATTCATAAACAGAACGATATGCCCTTGTTCAAGGGGGATCATTTCTCCAGAATTCATTTCAAATTTGATTCGCACCATTGGAATGCCTCGTTAGCTACTCCAATTACTCTGCGCCGAGATGAAATTCACTGCCAGAAAAAGTTCCCCCTATGTACCACAGTACCGCCCAACAAAATTAAGGGCATGATTACGAAACAAGGGGAATTCACTATGCGATCTCTCAGGGGTTCTACCGGTTTTAGCATTATTATCTTAATGGCTCACACAAGATAGACACAAAGGGGCTGCCGGATTTCAGTCGTGTATATTAGAAGAAGAATAAACCAAGAAATCGATTCCAACACCAGATCTTAGACCCAGACGGCGATCTGCGATCTGCCGTCCGTGTAGAATAGAAACGAGAAAATCGAGAACTGAACAGACGAGGGAAAGGAAGGATTGGGGTCTTGGGGGACATATACCTTTGATAATGCGGGAGCTACGCGTGGTAGACGAGAAAAACTATGGCCGCCGGCGAGAAGGGATGGGATGGGGTCTGAACTCTGAAGCACGCGCGTTCTCTTGCTCGATCTGCTTCCCTCTGAAACTCAGTAGCTAGATGAGATAGAAATGAAAAATGGAAGGCCCGTCTACAGTTTTACGGAGGAGTCAACGGCCCATTATTACTTGGTCTATCTTCTCGTACTTATGGGCCAACGCCCGAAAAAATAGGGAAAAAATCCAAAAGTACCACAGTTTAAAAAAATAATTCCAAAAAAACTACTCAATCCCAAAAAATTCCAAAAATACTACCTTTTTCAAAAACCGCCACCCCACCCTGCGGTTTACACGAAAACCGCTTATCGGGGGCGCAGTTTTCTATGCAAACCGCGGGGCTAAGGGGCGGTTATAAAAAAAAAAAATTGGACCAAACCGCTGGGTGGGGTAGCGGTTTGGCCCAAAACCGCCACCCCACCCAGCGGTTTGGTCCATTTTTTTTTTCCGATCAACTCCTAACTTCGGCAGAAACTTCAAACAAACGTAACTTTGTACTCGGGTATCCGATCGTAGCGATTTTTTTTCATTTTGCATAACTTTTCAAGATCTACAACTTTTACTAGGATGAAATTTTCAAAACAGGAATTATTTGTGGATATACGGGACCTTGAGAATAACTTTATCTTTACTTTTCACAAATCCATGTACATTTTGAAATTATGATTATATTAAAAGTTGTAGATCTTGAAAAGTGATGGCAATTTCAACCCGTCCCGCGGGTATTACCTGACCTGACCCGTGATGGGACGGGTATTACCCGATCCGCAGTAGCGTGGGGCGGGGCATGAGTATCTACTTCCGACCCGCCCTGCCCCGCGCCGCCACGTTCTAGACTCATTTTATATCAATTTCTTACAATATCTATACATATTTCTCCTATTTTGACTTTTCTTCAACTAGTTAGAGTCGATCTTTCAACTTGTTAGGCTCAATTATCCATTCAATTATCAATATTTTTCATTCTTAAAGTGTTTTTCCCTACGTTTCATTGTAAAAAGTAAAATTTACTTGTATTTTTTTTGAACAACATGTAAGAGTGGGTCGACCCGCCCCGCCCCGTACCCGCGCGGGTTTTACCCGCCCCGACCCGTAGTAGCGTGGGACGGCGCATGGGAATTGAGGTACCCGCCCCGCCCCGCCCCATTGCCATCACTAGTCTAGGAGTTGCATTCGGGAGAGTTGGTCATGTGTGTTGGGGTCGTTTGGAAGTTGTGATTCTTCAAATTGAATGTATTGGGTTAATTAGTGTATTATTATTTGATGTATTAGACAAATACTTTGTTTAGATGTTTAGATTGTGTTTTTGTTGTAAAGACATAAAAGTTAATTTTGAGTGATTGTGAACAATCTCAACAAAAAGTAGAGACTGACAATCCCTCAATTTTGAGTGATTGTGGTTAGGGGTGGGATTCGGTTTTTCGGTAAACGGTTTACCGTTTTACCGAACCGTTTAGGCGACCGAGCGTGGGCTGGGGTGTATCGGTTTACCGAATCCGGTATCGGTATTTACCGATGGTAAATCGGTAAACTGTTTACCGAACCCAAAACGACGTCGTTTTGATTGGCCCCCAAATCTATACCCTAATTCCTAAACAACGAAACCTAGCCGCCAGCCCTTCTCTTCTCTTCTTCGTTCGAAAATCGCAGAGAGGCGAGAGCCACCTCTTTTCTTCTTCTCATATTCGCCGGCCGCTCCTTCTGCTGACGAAGGCGACGAGCAGCGCATCGATTCCCACGGGCCACGACGGCGACGACGGACTGGCCGCAACGCCACCTTCCCGCTTCCCTCGCCGACTGGCCGCAACGCCACCTTCCCGCTCCGCCACCTTCCCAGCTCCGCCACCTTCCCACTTCCCCACCGACGACGGCGACGAGCTTCCACCGACGAGCTTCCAGCTCACAGCTCCGCCACCTGGCCCGAATCCCTCACCTCCCAGACCCCAGTCTCCCTTCCCTCGGCGATTAATAGGTAAGTTGTTGACTTGTTGAGTTGTGCATTTTGCATTTCGGATTCTCACCTACTGTGTTGACTCTACCGAGTAGCTCTACTTGCAGAATCCCACCTATGCAGAGAACTGGTTTTGGTAAGTCTCTGAGCTCTGCCGAGTCGGCTTTCCTGCAGACGAGGCTGACAAATTGACAAATTGAGAAAGGAAAGGTGGAGAATGGCAGAATGCACTCTGTCTCTAGGTGTTTGATAATATTGTTAGGAAAGCTTATTGAGTAATCTTGTTAGGAAAGGACAGAGTTACTCTGCTGTGCTTGTCTATGATCAAATGACCAGCGATGTAGCATTCAGGTTTTGAGGTGAATGTAGTGGCGTACAATAGCTTTGAAGTTTGAACAAAGACAACGAAGCCATTTTTGAACCAACGAAGCCATTTTTGAACAAAACCTTGTTGACTTGTTGTGCATTCTGAGTTCATTTTGTGTTTGAATTTTGATATTCAGAAATCAGAATTGAATGTAATTGTTGTGCATTTTGATATTCAGAGTTGGTTTGGGGCAGAGAACTTGGATTGTGCATTTTTGAGAGCAAAGGGACGAAGGAGACAGCATACAACAAGCCAACAGGCAACAACAGTCAACATTCACTGAATTCTGAATATGTATGTTAGTGAATTTAGCAATAACAATTAGCCAAAATCTATATATGTATGTTAATAAGTTAATTGAATTGCAGTTTCAAGTTTGTATTGAATTGATGAGAATTGATCATTGAGTTTGATTGACCTAAAATTGATGAGAAATTGTTGTTTAGGAGGTTTATGACTATGTGTTCATTTTGTTGTTTTTTGTAGGACGAAAGCTTCTGCTGGCAGCCGTGGAGGAGGTAGTAAGAAGAAGAAAGCTAGTTCTCTACCTCCTCGAAGCTCTTCAAAAAAAGGGAAGTCTTCGGCTAGTAGCACACCTTCCATTACTGCAAATCCACCTGCAGCTGCAGCAAATCCATCTCCTGAGGCAAATCCTCCTCCATCTACAGCAAATCCTCCACCATCTGTTGAGGTACCTGGTGTACAGAAGAAAATTGAGAAAGGGAAGGGGAAGAAGTCAAAATCTAAGTGGTGGATTCCTTACACCCGTGTGCTAGTTGATGACTACCCATACGGCAAATGCAAACGGTGTGGAGGGATGATCAAAGCTCATTCAACCTTCAATGGGACAAGTGGTTTGAAGAGTCATCACCTAATGTGCGAGAGGAAGGCGAATGAAGCTAGTGGTCAGTCGGTATTGAATTATCAACCTGGAAGTGGAGATGGTGAGGTAGGCTCTCTTACTTAGAGCTGTCAAAATGTAACCCGACCCGAGTAACCCGCCCGATCAACCCGACCCGCAACCCGCCCGCAACCCGATTTGACTAAAAGTCAATGACCCGTAACCCGCCCGACCCGCAACCCGATCGACCTGCAACCCGACCAACCCGCAACCTGATCGACCCGCAACCCGACTAACCCGCAACCCGATCAACCCGCAACCCGATTAATCCGCAACCCGACCAACCCGCAACTCGACTAACCCGAACTTGTAACCCGACCAACCCGCAGACCGACTATAATAGAAGGAATTCGATGAAGATAAACCAAAAGTTGACATTTGAAAGAGGGCTTGCAATTTTCAAAGAGATATTTTATTCATGAATGAAATAAAAGAGATAAAGCAAAAGGTAGGATGGCGGCAGTTTGAAACTTTAGGAGTTAAAATTTTCAGGGAGATGGCGGGCAGATTCACGGATGCAAAATTTCAGGATTTGAAAGAGGGAAAAATTTATGATTGTAGAGGCAAATTTTTGGAGCAAAAATTTGGATTGTAGAGGCGGCAACAAAATGAAAATGTGCTTATAAAAAAAATAATAAAATAAATAAATAAATAAATAAAATGTGCTGAATTGCTTGGCGAAACTTTTAAGAAAGCAATTTTAAATGAGTACCATTGATATTTAGTAAATACTTGTATCGTATATGTACTCGTATTTATTTTATTTGTTTAAAATTTTCATATGTGTATTATTGTCAAGTTATTTTATTTTTTCTCGTTCATTTGATGGTTTCTGACTTCCCGTAATATACACGTATAAAACCAGTATAACACATTTAATATCCTTATTTAATGAATTAAATTGCTAACTTAACTATTATTTAGATGTACAAGTAATTAGGAGCCTTCACATGCCCCTTCTCAGCAACCTAATAAAATATGTACAAGAAACAACATCAACCAAATGTGTCTAGTAATTCGCCAAATGGAATCCGAAGTCTAATTTACCAACATTAACCAGAACCTTTGACGTCATGGATCGAACTAGTAAAGATCATTAATGCATGTAATGTAGAAAAAGAAGCCATTAAATTATGACACTCTTTGATTCATCCATAGCTAAGCTTGGTCAATTCATCCATAGCTCAGCATACATACATCATGGTAAAGCCAGGGAAATGATATTTCCAAAATTTCCTTTGAAATCAATACATCAGAAAATACAAATCATCCATAAATTACTAATTAAGCAAACTAAAAGTTAAACAGAGCTTACCAACAGTATAAAATGACCAAATCTAAACTCCACCTTACATTATCTACAAAATCTTGACAAAATACTTAATGTCTAACAACCAAACACAAGAAACAAGACAAATACAAAGGCATGAATTGAACAGTGAGGCATCATTTAAAATGTTAAAATGAGGCAGTGAGACATCACTAATTACTGCAATTCTACAATCAGAGCAGTAAGACATCATTGAAAAGAGAGATATTTTCTCTGGTAAGTTTGTCTATGAACGAAGAGAGAAGGAAGAGAAAGAGGAATGTGTTTGTCTCTGGAAAACAAAGAGAGAATGGGAGAAGGAAAAGAAGATGAGAGCTTTCTTTGCCTCGGGAAAGGAAGAGATATGAGAGAAGGGAAAGAAGATGGGTGTGTTTCTTTTTGTCTCTGTGAAAGGAAGAGAGAAGCAAAACAGTTCGTTTTGGGGGGAAATATCGTGGGTGGGAAAATTTTCGTTAAGTTGGTGGAATTTTTTTTTGTTTGGGCGGCCAAATTTGTTCTTTTTCGCTAATG